TTTCATAGATCGTGTTCACCCTGAGCACATGTGACAGATGTGAAAGGGTCTGGAGAAGCTGTGAAGAATGTTATGCTGCCTGTAACATCATTCAGCATGACTGTTTTGGTGGTGGATCAGTGATGGTCTGGGGAGGCATATCGGTGCACAGACCTCTACAGGCTAGACAATGGCAGCCTGACTGCCATTAGGTATTGGGATGAAATCCTTGGAACTATTGTCAGACCCTATGCTGGTGCAGTGGGTCCTGGGTTCCTCCTAGTGCATGACAATGCCGGGCCTTATGTGGCAAGAGTATGCAGGCAGTACCTGGAGGATAAAGGATTTAATACCATTGAATGGCCCCCATGCTTGACTGACCTAAATCGAATAGAACACCTCTGGGATGTCATGTTTTGGGCCATCTGACGCCTCAAGGTTGCACCTCAGACTGTCCAAGAGCTCAGTTATGCCCTGGGCCAGATCTGGGAGGAAATACCCCAGGACACCATCTGTCATCTCATTAGGACCCTTCAATTTGTCAGGCCGCAAGTGGCACTCCATTGCTTGCATGTCAATGATGATACCTAAGTATTTAATCTCTGTGTAAGGACCTTTCATTTTCTTGGGCACCAGAGAGATCCCAAACTGTCATGCAATGCATTCTAAAGTATGCAACAAGAGCAAACCTTGGAATCCGGGATGTGATACAAACACAATTGTCAAAGTAATGAAGAACCGATTGTACCTGCGATTCCCCCCGCACCACAAATTCTACAAAGGCACTGAATGTCTCAAAATAGAAGCAAGAGATGGAACAGTCCATTGGGAGACAGTGATCAATAAAATAATCATTCACGATTTATTCTCAGGTGCAATTGACCTACAGTTGACCTCATTATGACCTGCTTCAAGTGGGCTTTGCATTCCCAAAAACTTGTAGGAAAATTCAAAACACTCCTGAAGTGAACAGAAGCCAGTTGCCACACCTTAATGGTAGCTCAGCACATTAAGAAATGCACCTGTATTGCAGCGCACCACAATACAATGAACAAAATGCACTATTGTACATTGAGGTGTGCTTCCTCAGAAATAATTGTGCATGTCTGGTTTTTAATCCATTGTGGTGCACTGGCAGCCTATTGAAATTAATGGATTTCTCTTACTGTAATGTAAGTTAATGTGGGACATACCTATATATGTTAATGCACTGCAACACCCTGGATAGAAGTGAATGGGCACCTAGTATTTGCTTTTTTTTTTTTGCTGAAAACCAAGATGTAGAACTGAGCCTATATAATTGTAGACATTAGAATCAAAAGTTTTTTTTCTTCCATTAAAGGGCTTTGAAGAATACACCAATATTTCAAAATAAACAAATATTACATATTGGTAAAGCATAGAGGAGAGGTAGGGATCCCGCTAGGAGAGCACGGAGTGCAGTGGATTTGGGTGTGGTTCCACTTTCTGGACAGACATAGAGTAGGACACATGAGTGGATGATCAGCTATTGTTTTGGGGGATGATCTTGGAAGGAAGCTGACGGGGAAACCCAAAACTCATGGGTTTCAGTAACATTTTGACTGCTGAAGCCTGATTGAAAAGTAGATGTTTATTATACAAGCATGTAGCTAGACCTCCATGCAGGGAGAGCAGAACAATACATGGTGTTGGATTCAAAGTAATGCTCTATCTAACTAGGGCTTTCTAATACAATTTATATGCTCTACAGTGGGTGGTACCTAGCTATCTGATCTTTCTTTGAAGAGTCATCTGTGTCTTTGGTGTAACTCATTGAGATGCGAATAGTACACATGTTATTGTTACTTCCATTGTCCTTTGGGTTTAACAGGTCTTCAAAGGCTGTGATAATAATCTTGTAGACAATAGACTGGAAGTAGAAGTGAAGTGCCAAATGTTGAGCCAGCAGGAGAGGAAAATAGGTTGTTAGGCCATCTAATTCAATACCAATGTATTTCATATTTATATCTAGAAATGGCTGCTCCATTTTCCCTTACAATCCCTCCTCTTGGACATCATATTGTCCAAACAATTATCCCTTCATAAAAAGAAATTTGAGAAACATATTACTTTACAATTCCTCCCCTCCTTTAAATTCTCATACATCTCACTTTGTTTGCCTAATATTTCTTTCTAGTTCATATTTCTCATGATTTATACATCCAATTTACTTCTGCAGAAAAATCTAATTTTGCTTCACAAAGGCTGAAAAATGCAAAACATTAAACAAAAATTAAAAATCAAAAAGTCTAAAAAAACTGTGTGTTGGGCTAACTGTTTATGAACGCCAAGTCTGTAGTTGATTCCTCCAATGTATCCTTGACAGCTAGTCCTCCATAAGACTGTACTGCAACACCTAAGAACTCGTACAATGTTCATACATAATATTTTCTTCAGGACCATCGCAGTCCACATGACAAGAAACTTCCGGTAGGTGTGCAGATCTGCTGCAATTATAGCAAATTGAGCTTTGACTTCTATTCATGGACAGCTGAAATGATAAGTGGAAATGTTCTTCAGATACTTAAAAGTTTTGAAACCACTTTTCTCCATCACTGTTGTTTGTGGCTGATGTCAAGAAGTCCAGGAATAAGGGAGGATATTTTTGAAGATGGCGTCATTCAGATTGCTAGTCCAACATTAGGTATTTAACAAAAATGCCCATGCAGCCATGGCGTTTTTATTTTTCTGCCGAAGTAAATCTGTGTTATAGAGACAATAAGACCTAGAAGAAAAGAAATACATCTTAATATGAGGAGAAACCACTCTCACTTTGTATAATGTGTTACTCAGTCGTCATCCAAACTTAATTACACTATTATTCAGAATTCAATCATAATCAATCGGCCATCTTAAAAAAAAAAAAGGTCTATCATGTATGGCTGGGATCAGTGACCTTACAGTTGACCAGGAACATGTAAGCACAGAGACAGGAGACTTGGAGAGCACAGAATACAGGACTTAGAAGAATGGCAGCACTGGGGGGGTACTAGTCTTAAAGTCAAGCAGGACACAAAATGCTAGTAAGAAACATTTGTAGCACTGGGGATTAGGGGTCACAGGGAATGCAGGCACACAGGATACAGCTGATATATCAAGGATTCTAAGACAGGAAGGATACCCAACAGTATCATCTGGGGAGAACACAGCATGTCCGCACATGCAACAAGGGCGAGGGCCCTTGTAAGGGCCAAGGCGCAGAGTCTAAGGAACTGCCTTGTCTTCTCCAGAGCTCTTGAAGGTAGAGATGGGTTTGCTGCAGACAGTCCCCAGGTTGCGGTCCTCGTACTCACCCAGGCAGGAAGCTACTGGGAATTACTAACTGATAAATAAGAACCCCTTGCAGTGATGAGGCACAGGGATCACTGGACAGTAGGGAGCTCAGTTCAAGCTGACATGCATAGAAACACACAGACACTGGGAACAGAAAACTAGGAGTAGGTAGTAAAGCAAGCAAACAAACAGGGGTCTCTAAGAGCAGATAGAGATGTAGGGTGACACCAAACAGGAAACATGATTGAAACACATTTGGAAACACAGAGACAATCTGCTAGGACCTTTAAGGTGTAAAGCCTGAGGCAATGAGCCACATTAGAATGAGAAGAGATGGCCTGGCTGGGCTCATTAAATCATCAGCAGGAGGTTACGCAGCCTTAAACACAAGTCTTGTGGGACAATAGGCAACAGCAGAACCTTATAATTTAAAGTCATGGAACTACATGTACCAGCATACCCCTGCTGTTCTTTGGAAATAGAGGAGACAGATCTGAAGAAAAGCTGAAGACCCCGACATAGATTTAATTTAAAATCTTGACAATATCTAACTGAGCTTAACAATCAATATAGTAACACTAATGTACATTAATTATATTTCTTAGGATATTATAGGTGTTAAAATAGAGAAACAATTATTCAACTCAATAGTCAAACGTTCATTTCGCAATAATATAAAAACTTTATAAGATAGAAAATGCTCAGTTCTATTGTCACTGGTAATAGGGGATTTCTGGCTTTGTCTGGTTCGTTTGGGGACCTCTCTTAGAGTGTTGACCTCGTTAATACCAGAGCCCATACATGTTAGATCAGAACACACAACAAAGAAGATCTAACACCCACCCATAAATAGGCAACTAGGAACTTCCAAAGAAGGTACAAACTTAACCAACTACACCGATATCAGCTAATGGGGGTGAAACATTTAAGTATTTACAAAAGAAAACAGACTAATAAAACAAGGAAGAAAACAATTTGGAACAATACTTCCATTGGTTGATTTTTTTTTTTTATGAAGGCTGTGATCTTCCGTTCTGAAAGCCTGAAAGAAGTCCAACCAAGGCATTGATCTAATCTGATGAATAAGCATCAATTACATTTAGTAACAAACATGACACTTTCCTCCTAATAAACCAATGGTTAAAGATCTAACAACAAAACATACAGTACATACTTTTTAAAATTTTCTCTTAGTTGTTCTAACAGTGCACTTTTCTAATACCAAAAATTATTGACATCAAATTAATTATTACCACGTGGATTTTGTTTATGGTATACCATTAAGAAAAAAAAATTATTATTATACACCATGGTTAAAAATGAGCAGCTCAATGTAAACCTTTTAGTAAGCTACCATTTGTGTGCAAGAGTTATACTTCACCATACTGAACACATTGGAAACTTCCAAAACTGTATCTTCTAAAAAAAACAAACAAACACAAGATAGTGAATACACATAACAATTCACTATTAACTAGTTGCCGACCGCAGATAGCCGAATGACGGCTAAACTGCGGCCGGCCAGTTCTGAGTGGACATCATATGACGTCCTCCCAGAACGCGCTCTCCTGCACGCCCCAGGGGGCGCGCACCCGGCGATCTCCGTGATCGCTGTGTTCTACAGACACAGCTGATCACGTGATGTGGTAAAAGGCCAATCATAACCGGCCTTTTACCACGTGATCAGCGGTGTCCAATGACACGCTGATCACAGGGAAATGCAAGTGCCGGTTCTCGGCTGCACTTTCCTCACGCTGTCAGATCGTGAGGAAAGTACTGCCGAGAACTGGCAGTTGTCAGTGCCCTGATGATCGGTGCCCAGCAATGCCACCCGCAAGTTCCGCCCACCTGTCAGCAGTGCGCCCACTAGCTCCGCCCACCTGTGCCCAGCAGTGCACCCACCTGTGCCCAGCAGTGCACCCACCTGTGCCACTCTGCAGTGTCACACACCTGTGCCCAGAAGTGCCACCTACCTGTGCCCAGCAGTGCCACCCACCTATGCCCACCCACCTGTGCCCACCAGTGCCACCCACCTGTGCCCACCCACCAGTGCTGCCCACCAGTGCCACCCACCAGTGCAGCCCAGCAGTGCTGCCAGTCAGTGCCACCAGTCAGTGCCCAGGGGTTGTGCCAGTCAGTGCCCAGCAGTGATGCCAGTCAGTGCCGTCTATCAGTACCCATCATCAGTGTCACCTATCAGTGCCGCCTATCAGTGCTGCATATTAGTGCCGCCTATCCGTGCCACCTCATTAGTACTGCCTATCAGTGCCCTTTAGTGCTGCCTATCAGTGCCCATCAGTGCCGCCTATCAGTGCGCATCAGTGCTGCCTCATCAACGCACATCAGTGAAGGAGAAAAAATACCTGTTTGAAAAATTTTATAATAGAAACAAAGAAACTTTTTTTTTTTTTCAAATTTTTTTGCACTTTTTAATTTATAGCGCAAAAAGTAAAGCGCCCAGTGGTGATTAAATACCACCAAAAGAAAGCTCTATTTGTGAGAAAAAAAATTATCAAAAATTTCATATGGGTACAATGTTGCATGACCGCGCAATTGTCAATCAAAGTGCGGCAGCGCTGAAAGCTGAAAATTGGCCTGGTAAATAAGGGGGTATAAGTGCCCGGTAGGCAAGTGGTTAACATCTGATTTCCTTTTAGAGTTCACTTGGCTCAGTAAATTTGCATGACCATAACAGCTGTTTCTCTCATTCACAAACCATGCAATTAACCTGTGTTAAAGAAAAAAGGGGGTCAGCACTCGGTGGGCTGTCAGCACCTTAAACATATGAGACAGCACTCCTGATTTTTAAACTTTAAATAAGATCAGTGAAAATGCTTTTTACATGTCACTAATTCTTTTAAAACATTCCCCTTGACTTTTTGTTATCAATTTAATAACAGCAATGGGTGTGGCTCAAATGTCCAAACCAATAGTTACCCCAATCATGTCTCAATTTGTTTAAACTTCTAAAAGTCAAGAATCAAAATTTAGTAATTTTAAGATCAAAATGTGTTTATCTTCTAGATGTTGCCATGACCAACATGGTATTGACTCGTTACCTTTACGTGCAACATCACATCACCTTAAAACATAAGTAACAAAACAAATCATTATGCCACAGATATTGAATCAGTATTGTCAGATATTTTGCTGACAGGGCACTTTAGGCACATTAATACAGTCATCTCAGACAATACAACATACAATCCATGGATCTCACACATCTTAACACAACAACATACTCTCACAATTAGATTGCTTAAAATTCTAGACAAAAATATGAGCACATTTCTCTAATAAGGCTGCATTCTCTCTTATTTTTTTCTGGACTGTACCTCAAATCTATATATAGATCTCATTATTTCCCCTTTTTCTTTTTTTTTTTTTTTTTTTTTTTTATCTGGTGTTCATACTTACAGTAGGCTTTAACCCATGCCTCTAGTTAGGTCATTGTAAGTAGGCAGGTGTGGTAGTATAAACTATCATGTGCTTACAGTTATTTGGCAATATTACCAGGTTCTTGTTCTTATATAGGACTATAAGTCTCTTTTTTTTCAAACAATTTTGTTCACATTGTTCACTCACATTTGTTCAATTTGTCTTATCTTTGAAAGTATCTGGGTAGTTTTTTTTTTTTTTTTACATTCTTTCAAGAGTTTAAGGTGAAATTTCCCTTCTAGGGGTACTAAACCCCTGTGTGCCTTGGTTTCCATTCCTTGAGGGATTCAGCCACTCCTGTTCCAAAGTTATATAATGGCAATTTGGGCAATCCAGGAGGAACTCCCGGTGGTATCACACAGATACCCATTTGGGGTGTACACGGTGGTACAATTCCCCATCTCACACGGTGGTGAGACTCCTCAAGAATTAATCTATTACTAAGCCCCCACGATCAAATGCAAGATACGATATACCTAGATAATGTCAGAATTCATCTATTACTAGACCCCACGATCATATGCAAAGATACGATATATACTAGACAATAGCAGGAACCGTATATCTGGCCCCCAATCCTGGCCAAGGATATATACCAGACTATACTATGCATAAATTAGCCACACAGACTGAACAGGGACACCTCAGTCACATAGGCTGAGGGGATTCAGTTATACAGAGTAAAACAATTCAGGAATGTAAAAAAAAAAATACTTCTTTCTACAAAAAGAGAGACAGCCCACTTATATGTATAAACACATGGCAGCGCATAAAGAGATCAATACAGTACAACCAAAGCAACCAAAATTTCAATAGGAAAAGATTTATAGAACTTTTTAGAGAAAGTATAGTATCTGACAGCTTTGTTTCCCTAAAAAGTCTTTCACATCAGTTTATTAGACACTGCTGTAGAATAGAAAAGACAGTTCCTCTACTTATGGTGTGACTTTATGGAGAGCCACGCAGAAGAGAATAAAAAGAAGAAAGCTTCATCAATCAAAAACTGGTACTAAATGTTTCAAGCAGTGCAGTTTTTTTTTAAAGCAGACCTGTCACCCATGGCAATGGACCACATGGCCCCACCACACTTAGTAATCTTATCAATCACACCTTAAGTTATCTTGAGTCAGAAGACCCCGATCCCTGACCTGCCCAGTTGCCCGGTAACAGGAACTGCAGAGATCCTACCTAACCACACATTGCACCTGAAATAGGGCAAATCATTCAAGCAGAACACATTCATGCAAAAGGACAGTAATAAGTAACAGATAGTATGGAAAGTAAAAAGGAAAAAAAAAAATTCAACAGTCAAGGTTCTTGGAAAGGGTACTTTTCCACAACATCGACTTTACAGAAAAAGGCACAGCACAAGGGGAAATCATAGTAAGCAGAAAGTTAGCTTACCACTGCCAGCAGAGATGACTTCCCAGGTTGTGCTGTCCTTCTGTGTCTAAACGATGTCTGTAGAGTTTCCCTTTCCGGCTCGAAGGACCAAATTGACGGGGAACCCAAAACTCATGGGTTTCAGTAACATTTTGACTGCTGAAGCCTGATTGAAAAGTAGATGTTTATTATACAAGCATGTAGCTAGACCTCCATGCAGGGAGAGCAGAACAATACATGGTGTTGGATTCAAAGTAATGCTCTATCTAACTAGGGCTTTCTAATACAATTTATATGCTCTACAGTGGGTGGTACCTAGCTATCTGATCTTTCTTTGAAGAGTCATCTGTGTCTTTGGTGTAACTCATTGAGATGCGAATAGTACACATGTTATTGTTACTTCCATTGTCCTTTGGGTTTAACAGGTCTTCAAAGGCTGTGATAATAATCTTGTAGACAATAGACTGGAAGTAGAAGTGGAAAAAAGGAAAGTGCCAAATGTTGAGCCAGCAGGAGAGGAAAATAGGTTGTTAGGCCATCTAATTCAATACCAATGTATTTCATATTTATATCTAGAAATGGCTGCTCCATTTTCCCTTACAAAGCCATGGGATGGACTCCAAAGAAAAAAACATATAAAAGACTGTTCTAACGCAATCAAATCTTGCAAAGCAGATCCAGTCAACTACTTTTGTGATCTGGTGTTGTGCCCCTTCAAAGAAAAAGTATTATACAGCTTTTTCATGGATGGGGGAGGGGTTTTGTTGGGACTGTCTGTAAAATGTATAGTAGTCCTGGAAGTATGTACATTTTTAAGATGGCATCCCTGCCAAATGAATAAAATAGGGCCTATACCAGTGTTTTAGGTCTTGTTACATGTTATTTAGTGGGAATTTAAGGAATTTAGTAGGGTTCGTTCTGAACCCTAATGATGTCAACTTATGACAAAACGTGTATGAGCGTGGCCTAGGTTGGATGTCAGCACACATCGCAGTTCTCCACTTTTGATGCTGGCCAGAAGTTATTTGTATATGCGCAGTGACTCTGCAATCCATGTGAGTGCAATCTCATGTTATAATAAAGTCTTATAGAGGATTTTACACTATTGCCAGCTTTTCTGTTTTCATATGATACTGTTATATCCAGCTCGGCAGAGGAGGCAGGATCAATCTTTAAATGTAAAGTGCGGTAAATCCTCCAAACAACCCAATAAACTACACGATTCTAAATGGAAAAAAACTTTCAGCCCTAGAAAGTTGCAAACATCAACAATAGCCTAAAAAGAATCATCCAACCCACCCGCTTGTGAAAAGACCTCCTTAATCCAAAACAACAATATGTGCCCTACAAATAATAAATGTCCACACACATATAATCACACAAAATATTAATTGAATAAGTGTCCAGTGTCTTAATAGTCCAAAACCAAAAATAATAAAATATGTCCCACTTGGAATCACTTCTCTATAGTGTTGTAATCCTCAAAACAGCTTCAGCGGAAACCCTCAAAAAAATAAAAAAACTCAACATAGTGCATTAACTTAATAACTTTGAAAATAACACTCCATGCGTGCAACCGCAAACATTAGTGCAAAATAATGTGAAAAGAAAAAACACAGCAACACTTGTGCCAAACTGGTGATGTGTTTCACTCAGTGCAAACCACTTCAATAGTGTATCACTTCTAATACATATAGCATATATACCCTTACCAAAATAAAATGAAAAACCGCTGTGAGATATCATATAGAGGAATCAGCAAAACCACTCCAGATGGATAACACTGTGGCTCCAGACTCCAAAATGGCCACCGTATCTTTTCCGGCTCCTGCTCTGTACGTCTGACGTCACTTCCCCTGACGCGCTTCATCACATACGGGACTTAATCTTATTCCTTAAGATTAGGTCCCGGATGTGATGAAACATGTCAGTAAAGTGACGTCGGACATACAGAGCAGGAACTGGAAGTGATACGGCGGCCATTTTGGAGTCTGGAGCCGCAGTGTTATCCATCTGGAAGCTGCCTGGTAATCTCCAGCTATGTGGGGTTTCTTTTAATGCGCTGATTTTGATTTATACATGTAAGCAGATTCATTAAAGTTTATTTCACTGTATTATACGGAATTACACTATCATCTTTTCATATACATCCTGCGTGGAGCCGGGAGACTGGGGAACTGGCTTACGGTACCATGAGGGGATGATATTATAACCATAACGTCAGGAATGGAGGCAAGGAGACTGAGTGGTTTTGTTGATTCCTCTATATG